TGTCTGCATATTTCAGTCTGTTTGTATGCTTATCTATCTGTCTGTCTGTCTGTCTGTCTGCCTCCCTATTTAAGTCTGTTTGTATGTTTGACTGTCTATTGTCTGTCTGTCCTGTCTGTCTGTCTTCATGCATGTCTATCAGTCTGTCTGTCTAGCTGTCTATCAGCTCATCTGCCTGTTTTGTTGTCTATCTTTCTGTCTTGTATGTCTGTCTATCATCTGTCACTCTGTCTGTCTGTCTGCCCTGTCTGTCTGTCAGATTTCCATGACTTTCAGTTATGTTAACTGTTATGAAATGTCTCCATTCCTGTACAATACAGACAACTGGCTTCTCTTTCACTTGGTTCTTTAAAATTGCAAAAATAATTTTTAACAAGATCTTAAGGCATCTGAATCATTTAGTTTCCAATCCATAATGTATCCTAGATTTAAGGATTCAACATTTACAGTCCCATCTGTATAATATTCTGAATATAAGACCAGCATTTGCATATTCACATGAAATTCTAAAACAGGAGGAACAGAAGAGAGAAATGATGAGAGAGAACGAAAGAAAGAGGGAGAGAGAGTTGAGGGGAGGGGCTGTTGTAACAGATGCTCTCTAATTTAAAGCTGGAACGTGTGTGTCAGTGGCGAGCGGGGCTGTGAAGAATAAATGAGAGAGAGCGAAGAATAGAGTAGAGCTGTGTTATACAGCTTGCCCTAGCTGTATTGATTTGGATGCCAGAGACTGCGATAGAGAGAGAGAGAGAAGTGTAGCCACTTTTTCAGATGGTCTCTCCTACCTGAAACACAAACATACTGCGGTTACAGGAAAGAGAACTGGACAGTGTCTATCTGCGAAAGAGTAAAATAAACTAAAGAAGAACTGCAGATGCCCAACTCTGCTTGGAAGAAGACTGTGTGTGAAAGGCAGAGGCAAGCAGCAAGAAATGATGTGAGGGATAAAAAAGACAGAAGCGGACCCTCGTGTTTGGACCGGTGGGACCTGGATTGCAGAAAGCAAATTCTGCAGGATTCATTGCTGATTTTAACCCGCAACACTGCTTCTGAACAGATTTGTTACAGAAGACTACAGAAGACAGAAACTGTGTTTTGGATGCTGAATAATATATCACGTGATTTATTTATGTGCTATGAATTAATGGTGTGATTTGATTGGTCTTGCAGACTTTGCCTTTGGATTCATTTTGTACACAAATTGAAAGGTAGAAACGGGAAACTAATGCAAAAGACAAGAGACTAACATCAGAGAAGGTATAAGGG